GTAATCGGCAGAGACCATGAGAGGATTCAACAGGGTCGTTCGACGAATTGCGACGGCACAGACGCTACGAGTAAGGTCAGTCCGATCTTGTTCGACAACTGAGATGACTTACAATCCACCGGTCGCGAAAATAGCGCATACAGTGATCTTTTGTCTCCGCGGCATCTGTAGTCGTGCTACAATGGGTATCGGAAGTATCAATGTCAAGACATCAATTATAATGTTCAGGACGGAGAGCGCCATGTACTTGGTCAGCTGATCAAGACATGTAGCCCCGGGTACAAGTCTAAGATCCCATGTCGCAGCTATCGGTCTGCAGCCGAAGATACTGACGAGATCGTAGACCGTGGCGTAGATTACAACCACCGCCACGAGGATCCAAACTAGTGTGCGGAACCATACTTGTGGCGAAAGGCGTAGATAGAACAGCAGTATCGAAAGTTTTGAGAATGCGATGCTGGTAGCGTAGAGGGTCGTGCCGACCAGTGTCCACTGCGCGTTTCGTTAGTGTCGCAGCCGGAATGTTGCAACGAGTGTACCTGCCTTTTGGAAAGAAACCAAGTACTCGTCTGTTTTGACTTCCCACATATGGTAGCCCAGACCGGACTTCATATCTGTGTCATACTTAGTCACGCAAGGTGCAGTAGTAGCTATGGAACATACGCGGAAAATTGCACCCTAGTAGCGCAAGGCTGCAAATCATCGCACATACTACTATATCTAAGCACAGAAAGTTTAGCAAGATTGCCTTTCCTTAATACATGGACCATTGGAGAGACTCACAATCGTTGAGGCGAATACCCAGTTTGGTAACATATGCTCGTGTGAAGAGCTGCAGTATCACCGCCACTAGAGCAACAATGGTCGTCGAGACTCCAACAGCGGCCAATTCTCGATGAAGGTTCGGAGGGTTGACGACATGTCTGATTTGACCAGGCGGTGGTGCCACCATGTAGACTGACGTTGCACTCATCCTCGCTAATCTAGAAAGCGCGTGCAGGTTAAGATACGCAGGGTAACAGTCGAGGAGAGGCGCATGCTTATAACCTCCGAATTGGTCTGTCCAATCACAAAACCTACCTGCGCCTCATCATCGCATGGGACCGCTGGAGTGGTTGTGAACGTCAACAAGTCTAGGTGCTGGCATTTCCATTTCCCATCGCTCATTTCCGGTAGGTATCTGCAGGGCCACTTCGCATCCATGCAAGCGATGAGACCATCCTAGCTCCCATCCAGCATCGCCCATTCATTCAACAATGTCAGCGACGTCATCCGCCTCCAGGTTGGTATGGGAGAAAGACAACATAGCTTCACATTGCTCCACGGTTGGGCATTGTACGAACTGTCTGTGATAAAGGTGGACAACTACCCGACGAACGAGTCTTGAAAGACATTTATTTGAATGAGAGGATCGTGCGATTGACTCTCTCTGGAGCTGGTAGCCGGCAAATGGATCGCGCTAGTCCCGGGGGTTTCCCCAATAAGCAGCGGCACACAACTCCGCGCCCCACTGAAGGATCTAGTGCGGGAGCTTTAAACGGGTCGTAGTATCCCATGTTGGAAACTGGGCTAGGAGTTCGGCATCTGAACATGCGGCGCGGTTGTGCTGGCGGCTCGTGGCTCGCAGCCATGAAAGAGGGTTTGCATATGGCTGTTGACTCGTGAGATATATGAGCGGCACATCGCTGTCGCACTGATGATACCTGATATCTCTCATATTCTGGCCTATCGATATGAACGGCACGGCTAAGACCCTCCCATATGCTGTCAATACCCTCCCTTTCTTGGGGAGGGTTATCGCTGTTACTGGCGCCAGCCGTGGACTGGGCCTTGCTGTTAGCAAGTACTTGCTGATACGAGGTGCCACAGTATCTATGTGTGTAAGTGATGTTCCTATACTTAACATGTGTGAAACGTATGCTGACTTCGTACACCAAACTTCAGGCAACGTCGGTTGACAATCTGTCAAAAGCCACCAAAGAGATCGACGCTGAGCTTCCAGACGCCAAGGACCGGTACTGGACGTGCGTTGTAGATATCGCCAACCTAGACAGTGTTCGGTCTTGGATCGAGGAGACCGTAGCTAAATTTGGAAAGCTCGACGGTGCCGCAAACGTCGCTGGTGAGCTCAATTGGCCTTCGGGATGCTGGACGTATTTCTGATCGAGTCTTCTAGCCGTGGAGCAACGCGAGATCTTCCCTATAACCGATCTCGACCCAGAATATTTCGCTAGGCTGCTCAACGTGAACGTTGTTGGTACTTTCCACTGTTTGAAAGAAGAAATGAAGGTTATCAAGGACGGTGGCTCAATCGTCAATGTTGGAAGCATTGCGAGCCACTACGGAACGCCTGGCACGTCAGGTAAATACCGAGGTTTTCCAAATGCATACGAAACATACGCTGACTTCGCATCTCCACCTTTGAAGCATACGTCGCCGCCAAGCACGCGCTCATTGGTCTTACGAAAGTTGCAGCTTTTGAAGGGGCGTCGAGGCGAATCAGGGTCAACGCGCTGTGCCCGTAAGTGACTTGGATGTCTGAAGACGACCTGAGCTAATTGTAGGCAGCGGATGCTTTAACACAGAAATGATGACGAAGTAGGTTCTGTTCTGTACAGATTGGTCGTGACACATTCGCTGACTTCCGATACTTAGGCCTTTCAACTCAGCTGCTGGTGAATTCCATCTGAATAAAGACAACATTCCATGTATCTTGAACCGTGAGCTTCCAGAAACATGGGAGATAGCCGGATCGGTCGCTTTCCTGCTGGGCGATGAGGCTGCGCACGTTACAAAAGCGTCATGGTCTATTGATGGTGGATGGGTCGAGAGTAACTACAGCTCGGGCTGAGAATGTGAGTGGTATGAAGATCATGGAGTTTGGGGTCCGGTGTATTGATGCAGCGTGCGCGGCTATTGAGCTGTAGAAGTGCACATTGCAGTTTTCCCGAAGTTGCGCGGTCGCGGTCGCGTTCTCGGGTTTCGCGTCGTCATCGTGGCTCAAGCGCCAGCCGTAGTTAGCTCAATGCTTATCGCTATCATCCCCTGCCACCTCCATGGCTGCACCCTTCTTTCCGACGGGATACGGTCACGTGTATCTGCTCTGATGCTTCCAGCGTCTCCGTCGGAAAACACAGCAATGCGTCTTCGTGCGTATCGTTCCGTGGGATGGCGCCTGGGACTGCATACAAGACTGTCTATATAACCAGTCCCCAGCTACTCAGCAACATGGGGAACACAAGCAACGCCAAATATCATCTTTCCCATCGACCAGTACAGCTGCAGCGAGATAGACACTATCATGCCTCTTCCATATGCAGACGCCGACATTACGCAATTGCAGCGCGATGCGGACGACAATCTGCTCACATACGGGACCGCATTCCATCCTGAGATCATCACCTCCACCGACAGCATCAACGTGCAGACAGCATCGGGTCACCGAATGATGGACGTAAGTGGCTTCAAGCTCCGAAAGCCTTAAGTATACACCGTTAACTGTTGCATTTAGTTCACTTCAGGCCAGATGAGCACTCTGATTGGGCATGGCCATCCTGAGGTTGTGAAAGTGATCGCGGATCATGCGCAACATCTCGATCATCTTTTCAGTGGGATGATCAGTCCCCCAGTCATCAATCTTGCGAAACGATTAACTAGCGTTGCGCCGGCGGGGCTCGACAAAGCTTTCTTTCTCAGTACGGGCGGCGAAGCGAATGAAGCCGCAATTCGACTGGCCAAATTCTACACTGGCAAATGGGAGATCGTTGGTCTGGCTGCCTCATGGCATGGCATGACAGGCGGGTCGCTCGGTGCTCAGTATCACGCCGGACGGTCAGGCTACGGTCCCAACATGATTGGGGTAAGTGCATCTGCGTTAATTGCATGTGAGACATACACTGACCTCATGCGCCTACATTTAGAACCTAGCGCTGCCAACACCCAACTCCTATCGGTCGATATTCAGACACGCTGACGGTACTCACGATTGGAAGACTGAACTGGACTACGGCTTCGATCTTGTAGACAAACAGTCCTGCGGCTCGCTTGCGGCAGCTATCGTTGAGCCGATTCTATCAAGTGGTGGTATGCTAGAGCTTCCACCTGGATACTTGAAGGCCCTGAAGGAGCACTGCGTCGCTCGAGGCATGCTACTAATTGTGGATGAAGCTCAGACGGCACTCGGAAGAGCTGGCGATATGTTCGCGTTTACACATTACCCTGAGGATGAAGGCGTGGTACCGGATATTGTGACACTCAGCAAGACGCTTGGAAATGGCATACCGCTCAGTGCCGTCCTGACGTCGAACCCCATCGCCCAGCATGCCAAAGATAACGGCTTCTTGTTCTACACTACCCATATCAACGATCCACTTCCAGCTGCTGTGGGCGACAAGGTTCTCGAGATCGTCATGAGAGACGAGCTCTGCGCTCGTTCCAAGAGGCTCGGTTTCAAGCTCCAAGCAGGACTCAGGCAGTTGCAGTCACGCTACGGTTGCATTGGCGACGTTCGTGGTCGCGGTCTAATGGCTGGAATGGAGATTGTTGGCGACAGAAAGACAAAGGTCGGTGCCCCGGAAGTCGGGGCCGCAGTGTCAACAAAGATTGCAGAGATGGGCTTGTGGGCTCAGCTAGCCACGATGGCATCGTTTGGTGGAGTGTTCCGGATAGCGCCTCCGATCACGGTTACGGAGGAGCAGATCGATCTCGCCTTGTCAATCATTGAGGAAGCGCTTGCGACGACTCCAGGTACGATGCCACTCTACACTGATGTCGCCGCGCACTTGTAAGGTGGGCTAGTTTGTGTGATTGTGATTTGTTTTAGCGGGCTATGATGCTCAGGACCCATACCATGATTGAGCAAAGACTTTTAGTTCACAATCAGTCGTTATTTTCGCAACCCCCTTGAGAACTCCGACGCCAACACCTAAATCGCAACCGTAAAGTCATTCCTTCCGTAACTCCTGGTGAAAAGCCCACAATGTTTTGGTAGCTCAAGTTCTTCAACCGTAGAAAGACTCAAAGCCTTCCTGAAATATCCAGCTCTTGGTAGTTATCTCACTGTGCACTTCCTCCAATTTTGTCTCCGTGGCCGCCTTTGCAGCTTGTACTGCCTCCAGCCTTGCTTTTGCAACTAGGAGAGCCTTCTCATAAGTCGAAACCGCCATGACGGCCTCGTTGAATGTCATGGTGTGCGCATTCAACGTATCCTGGATCGCAGTCGCTTCCCTTTGCAGACTCTCAATTTTGATCTGTGCGAGGCGCTTGAAGCGGCTGCACTGAGAGAAGAGTTAATTTCAGTGGTTCCAGGTAATCACTATGCAACTTACTACCAGCTTCGCATCCTCTTCTCTGTCCTGCTCCTTCTCTCTCTTGGCATGGTCATCCGCAGACCTTTTTCTCTTAGACTCGCATGCGAAGATAGTTCCAGCTGACGCATGTCCGCAACTCCGCTCTGGATTCTTTTGACTGGTCATTTTCTTCGGGAATGGTCTTGCGGCAACGATGCCGTCTCGTTGCACCATGGTACTGACCGCACGTGTAGGATCATCCTCAGTTGCTTTCACCAGCACGACTGGCATATCCTCCCGCTTGACGAGTATGCCTTCAAAATCTTGGTCTTCGTCGTCTTCTTCTGATCCCGGTCGAGTCTGGACTTCTGTGGTTTGGACGCTTTTTGGAATGACGAGAAGTGGGCGCGTTGGCTTTTTCTCGAACCGAATCTGCCCATCGGCGATGCTCTTACACGCTCTCTGCAACGACTCCAATCCATCTTTTGTGAAGATGGTACGGTCGATAAGCTTTTGTTCGAGGAAATAGTATAAGACTAGGAAGCGTAGTGACGTGCGCCATTTGATGCTGCCAATGTTGTCCAGCTGGTTGAAAGGCTCAACGTACTTGACCTTTTGCAGCAGCAAAGTGTCGTTTCTTATATGTGCTCGATGCATCCCTATTGAGGTGCCATCGTGAAGATGCACGTTCACTAGGTTGAGAAGGCCACTCGCTGAAGGGCACACTCGAGCGTGTACACGCAGATGTTTGTGGTTGTTGTAATATCCAATCAGCAAGTTTCTCTCGCTCCCGGTTCGAATTACTAGGTGAAATTTAAGATTTGCTTTCAAGGCCTTGGGTAAGTAGCGAAAGTTTGTTCGCCAGTTTTCGTCTCTTGCAATCTCTTGGTGAATTTCTGCTAGCGTGTAGCGATCGGAAGACTTTGGGGAGTTTTCTGGGTTGTCCGTCATGGTGCGAGCCCTTGGGTTGTGTCTCGGAAAGGGACCAGGTGAGGTAGTTCAGGTTACAGTATGAACCGCGAAGTCGAGAGGATGCTGATGACTAGGTGAAGTAGTTTTGGGAAGGAACAGATAAATAAGAAGATCTAAGTAGGGCCTCTACTGTACCTGCCAGCTGTCATAGGCTTGGGAGAGGAGGTAAAGGTGAGCTGACCTGCAGACGTGGCTATGACGGGCGCTTCGACGCCTCCAGGGCCATCGAGTCATCATGAGCTCCATTAACCTCACCTGACCCGCAGTCTGGTCTCTCACATCTGATACCTACTGCGGTACATCGTCGCGGTAACTATCTTTTCCTCCTACACCGCGATAGCCAGACCATTTCGGGCCCCCGGGCCAACGAGGGTCCCGTGGTTTCTTGGCTTTGTTGTCTTCCCTACTTCTACGATCTTGCTCTTTCCTCAGACATTTTGGACACGGTATACCTTCGGGGTGCATTCGGTCATCGACCCTGTTGCATTGACGCTGTGGGGGGCGATGTTCGGCTCGTGGACATAACGTAAAAGGGTGTATAGGATGGAGCAACTTGTGCGGGCATGAGTATTGTATGTAGTGGCGAAGGCACATTGTCAAGTCTAATATTCAGGAAATGTATAGGAGAAAGCAAAGTTCGGTCTCGCGCATTGCTTTAGTATGTCGTGTGCGTGAAGAGTTGACACCAGTGATTGACAGCGACGTGAATTGGTATGTGGAATGGCAAAAGTTTGACATTTTCGTGCTAGCAAACCAGCGTAAGATAATATTTACAGTAAAGAAGTCGCCAGGGAAGTGAACGACCTTTGGCATCTTCACACCCTTGCACCATCACAGCATCTGCGTCACCGCCTCAGGAAGTTGAGTCTTTCCGTGATGGAAAGCTTACGGGCAGTTGACGGTGATGGAGGCTGAGCCAGTGGAGAAGTAACCCTCAGTGGCAACGATCTGGTAGTAGTGGCTACCAAGGGTCATGCCCTTGCTGGCCCAGGCGTCAAAGTGAGTCTTCATGTTGACAGATCCGCTGGAACGCTTGTTCTGGCGAACAGACCAGTACTGCTGAAAGGTCCTAGTTCCATCGATGGATGGCTGGTTGGTACGGGTCGACTGAGCGATCTTGTAGGAAGAGCCGTCGGCGGTCAGTGTACCCTTGTTCGAGGCTTGGGAAGATGGGTCGTAAGTTCTTTGTGATGTTAGTGTATGTCTCTCATGCAGTCCGTACAGGGACATTACTCACCCGAAGTTCTCAACGACGTAGTACTCGACGAGCGGGTTGCGAGTCCAGCCGTAGATGGCAAGGTAGGAGTTGCCGTTGGGGTTGTAGGTACCCGAGTAGGTGATGGTACTGATACATGGTCAGCAAAGGTCTCACATCAAGCATGCAGTCGCTTGGATTGACATACCGGGCAGATCCAGGGTTCCATCCCTTTCCACCGACGAAGTTGCCACCGCTTCCCCAGTTGACGCTGTAGCTTCCGCCAGCACCGTTGGTGTAGGTGACGCGGGAGCCACCATCAGTCCACCAAGAGTAGACTAGACACATGATCAGCTATGCTCAACATATTGCTTCATGATACGACTTACAGCAGCCGTTGTGAGTTCCCTCAGCGTTGGGAGTGCTCTGGCGGGCAACAAGGTCACTAGGCGAACGAGCAGCTACATCAGTGGCGGGAGCAGCGAAAACGCCAGTAGCCGCGATAGCAGCAGTGACGAGGGAGGTGAAAGAGACCATCTTGAATATGAGTTGCTTGTGGTAGGAAGCGAAGGAGATGTTTGATCGTGGTGGTGATCTACGAGGCGACTCAAGATGGCTTTATATGCCTTTGCTCCGCTACGCACCGCGGCTTGCTGGTTCAATGGGGTAGCCCCGGGTCTGCTGGCGGAACCAAGACAAACATTCTCGCCTTCACTACGGCCGTCCGTCTCTTAGCAGCTAGGATGTAGATCAAGTGCTGCGATAGGAGAAACACTACTATGCCGGGCTTGGCTTCTGGAAAGAAAGGCATGCGAAATGCCGGCGCAGCATCCGCTATGATTGGTCTGCAACTTGAAACAAACGGTTACGGGACAAGACCGGGCGGTTATTAACCTACATGTCAATATCTCCGTGGTGGAGTGGGCTTCGGGTCATGGCGGCGCTACGACTGTCCTGGCGAGCACCCATCCACGTGTGCTCCCAAGCTCTATGGCATGCATATGCCAAGCTCTCCGCCTTTACAATCTTCCTGCGGTTAAAGAACGTCTTGGCATGAACACCGAACAGTGGAGTTGTAAGTTGGTAATCTATGTGAAGCCGCGTGACACGTGTGGCGCTTCCAAGGCTAGAAGTGGCGGCAGAAGGCGCATCTCTTACACATTGTATGGTGATTGCTCGATACCCAAGAAGCTTAGCAGGCTATGCAGTACTTCAGGCATAGTTCGTGAGGTGTTGGCGATGTTACAGCAACAGATGAAGGACTGCGATATTTTCGTGGGGCGTCCAAGCGCGCCGCCAAGGGACGTTTGCCTGCATCTTGCTTGAGCCGCATACCGCTTGTCTCCTTCTCACCGTCACTGCGCTCGTTCTGGACCAGCATAATCAGCGAACATGTCGGCAGCAGGAATCCGCAATCATAGTTGCGAGATCGTAATGAGCTGTTCGACCCTTCAGCCCGCTGCACAAGATCACTGTCCCTGGTCCTTGAGATCTTGCGAATATGGATCGATCTCCTGACTTCATATATACGGCAGGCTTGCCGAACCACTCCCCTTGTTACCAAGAACGTCTAAATGAGTTCTTACATACCATCACATGAGGCTGTCATATCCGTAAAGGACGCATCACCACGTCCGCATCACCGCAGCCGCATCACCGCAGCCGCAATTCCCTCTTCACATGTACGCAGCGCCCCTTGCGTAATGCGAGGTGATCAGAACACGACATTTCCCCGTATCCCGGAGAATAGTAGCCAGTCCTGGGGATCCGGGGAACTTAACGCGCCAATCACGTTTTACCCGCCATATTGTGCGCCATCACGTACGGTAAATGTTTACATAGCCGTCTGTACCCCGGATTCTACAGTCTAGACACCGCATAGCGGGCTTGCTTGCCCAGACTCTTGGTACTGTATAAGATGTCTTGTCCCGGTGGGTGAAAGGTGAATGCGTGGAAGCTTGGTTGAACGGCCGAGTATGAAGGGGCACGCTGTGCAGGTTGGTACGAGGGAGTCGAATGGAGTGAAACATCACGTGAGCTGGGCTTTGCACATGGGCAAGAAGCCGACAGTAACGAACTGTCCACCCCCAGTTGCTGATATTTTGCTCTCCTTCGACAATACCTAATCTGTCACTCTTCAACTAGGCTCCTACAAGGTCTTGCGATCATGGGAAGATCAAAATCTTGCTTCACCATGACTTCCTGCAGGTCACTCAGAAGTGCTCCAGGAAAAGTTCTCACTTCACCTTGACAACGACAAGGACGTAGCAAACTCGAATTCACTGTGACTGAATAGCTTGTATTCTCCAACCTCTGCTACTAACCAGACTTTCGCTATCACTAACAACACCAACAACCTCCTCAGTCCCCAAATTACCAGTCAAATCTCCAATTCCAAGCCTACATCTCCACCAAAACCACAATTTAACAACCATGTGCAGACGCAACTTCTACCACCACACCGCATGCGAGCACAAGACACAAGTCTACGACAACCCGTTCACCATGTGCGGCGCAGACCCCGGAAGCAGGTATCGACTACCGTGTCAAAACCCCACCAATTCCATAACCATCTTCTCGGGACACTGCAGGGACTGCATGTTGGATTTGGAGAAGAAGCTCGAAGATCTGAGGATCTGTCAAGAAGCAGGTTGGGTGTGGACTCCGAGGAAAGAGGTCTGATCAAGGGCACAAAAGCCGCTCCAGGAAAGGGTGAAGGGGTATGAGGGGATATAAAGGAAAAGAGGCACCAGCTCACGAGATGTGGAGTTACGGCGTCAACAGGGTCGCGATGTATGCAGAAGTCAGCATCACAATCAGGCAGAGAAATGCAATTGTATGATATATCAGTTTGTTTCTATGATTACTATGTAATTGTTCTGAACAATTTCATCGTCTTCAGTCTGTCACATCGACCACCGCAAGTTTGCTTGCGTTGAGGCATGTGCAAAGTAACGCAATTTGGGGTATTCGTCGTCTCCAGCTCTCTGGTGGAGCCCGACATCAGTCGTTCAGCCAGTCTGACAAAGGAAATAAAAGAAAACTGGGGGTATTGCGCTCATAACCGGGTATATCTAGAAGCAAAAGGCCTCGCACCGAAATCGTATCCATCGTTCATAACCATATCCATCTCGTTCATTACGTAGTTTGTCATCTCTTTCATCCACTCTCGTGTGTTGTGTGTTTGGTTTCGTGTTCGTCGTTCAAAGATCAGGGTCTTCGCCGGTTGATACCTCCGGCTCAGGAAGCCACTCCCTCAACTGCATCATTCTGTTCCTCGCGTGAATGATGAAGATGGAGATGGCAAGTGAGTTCCAGACGTCACAGCCTTCCTGCATAAAGTCGTACATGGCGAGTAAACGGAGTGAAGGTTGTTCGTTCTTCAAGGTCGGCGGCGCGTAGCTTACAAATGCCATGACGGTGTGCGTTGCAGTGATACCATAGAGGGTCGGGACTTCAGGCACAATAGCATCTCCGCGGGCTGCTGCCT